TGCCACCAGTCTCATTGCTAAAGCATGGCAATAGTGACCTTTACTCTAGTTTCCAATAAGTTTCTTATCTCCATCTGAGACCTCCTCAGCCAAAAATTCATTGTCCATATCACAATCAGAATTTTGATCACAATAATGTAGCAAGTCTCTAGGAAGTTCCAAACTTCCCCTCATCTTTCTTCTTCTGAGCCCTCCACACTTTTCCAACCTCTTTTGGTTAACCAATTCCAAAGCTGCTTTCACGTTTTCAATTATTCTTGCAGCATTACCCACTCCTCAGTACCAGTTTTCTGTATTAATCTGTTCTCACATTGCTATAAAGGAATATCTGAGACTGGGTAATTTATAAAGAAAAGAGGTTTAATTGGCTCACGATTCTGCAGACTGGGAAGCATAATGCATCTGCTTAGCTTCTGCGGAAACTTCAAGAAACTTACAATTATGGCAGAAGACAAAGGGGAAGGGGGCACATCTTACATGGCTGGAGCAAAAGGAAGAGGGAGTGGGGAAGGCACTACACAGTTTTAAACAACCAGATCTCACTATAACTCACTCACTGTCACAAGAATGGCACCAAAGGGATGTCGCTAAACCATTCATGAAGGATCCACCCCCATGTTCCAATCACCTTCCAGCAGGCCTCACCTCCAACACTGGGGATTACAATTCAACGTGAGATTTGGGTGGGGACACAAATCCAAACCATATCATTCTTTTACTGAATTTAACACCCATTCAAGATAAAACTCCTTAGCAAATTAATAATAGGAGGAAACCTCCACAGAGTACTTAGCCAAAGTCCACAGCGAGTATTACATTCAAGGTGGTTACCATGAGGCGGACCACTGCCCTGAATTCCAGGTGGAGGAAATAGAGCCTGCTGAGGGAAGAGCAGGTCTAAGGTTATTTAGTGATTTAGGGGCAGAGTGGGGCACCAGGAATAGTTAGGCTTCAGTGCATGATTCATCTGCTCATCCTAAAAGCCCAAGAAACACCCTCAGTACAGCCCTAAAATGCAGAGTAGTGCTTTTTACTTGAGACCACTCTGATTTCTATCAGTATAATAATTGGAGAGTACAACACTTACATTTTTTATCTTAAAATTCTTTTGAGGAATTGCTACCTCCAGTTTGTTTAGAACAGAGAGTTAGTGTGTCCTGAGTTGGGAGCAGCTGATAAATCAGATCATGTGTATTATTAAACGGGTGGGAAGGCAATGCATATGATACGCTCTTTCTTGAGTTTGCTTTTGGAATGAAGACAAACCTGTTGTTTTGTTCCAGATATTAGACTTGCGTTCTGCAATTTGCTCGTTCTGTGTAAACCACTCTCCTACTGGGAATGAGCTTTTAGGCTGTTCAACATTCAGGAGAATTAAAAAACCATGAAATGGAATGCTGTGGAAGAAATTACTCCTAAGAAAACCATATCAAGTGTACCTTATCTGATGAAATATTTAGACTATTTTGCAAAATTGGAACATATGCAGGGCCCAATTAGATCAGAGGGCCAAGTGACAATGATAGGCAAATTTAAATGGGATGGACTTACTCCTGACAGATAACATGACCCCAAACAAATGGTACCCGCCGTATTTGCATTTCAGTTTAAATTTCTGTGTACTTACTTTCCCAAGCCTGACTTGGCTTCTTCTTCTTCTTCTTTTATTGTTTTTTGTTTTGAGACAGAGTCACTGTCACCCAGGCTGGAGTGCAGTGGTGTGATCTCAGCTCACTGCAACCTCCACCTCCTTGGTTCAATTGATTGTCTTACCTCAGCCTCCCAAGTAGCTGGGACTATAGGCATGCACCACCATGCTCAGCTAATTTTGTATTTTTAGCAGAGATGGAGTTTCACCATATTGGCCAGGCTGGTCTCAAACTCCTGACATCAAGTGATTCTCCCCTGTCGACCTCCCAAAGTGCTGGGATTACAGGCGTGAGCCACTGTGCCCAGCCTCAGCATCTTCTGATCTTCTCTCTGCCCTTCTCCCCATATGCCACTCGCCATCTTCTGTTGATTCGGCCTGGATTTTCTCATTTCCACCTTTGGCTGCCCAGCTTCACTTGTCTGATGTATTAGATCTGAACAACAGAAATAATCTTGATATTAGCCAGCGTCAGTGGAGCTCTCATTATGTCCAAAGCAGTGGTTAAGTGTTTAAACCTACGTCCATCCCATGACGTTTTCATACCCATTCTAGAGATGAAGGAGCTGAGGCTTAGGAAGGTTAAGTCATTTCACCAAGATCCCACAGCTGAAAAGCAGACTTTAAACCTTCTGCCTCCAAAGCCTATGCTCCTGTCCTAACCTCAATTTCTGCTTACCTCCCTTTCTCCCTACTCTAGTTAACCCTCTGCACGATGGTTAAGGGGATGTTCCTGAAAAATAAAAGTGATGACTCACAGCCCCATCCCCAGCTCTAAATTTAAAAATCCCACCTTTCATTGCTGCCTCCCTCAGATCCTGCGTTTTAGCCCCTGGACCTTCTTGCTGCCTCTGAGCATTGGAGACACATTCAGGCATGTGTCCCTTTGAAGGATCTCTGCCTAGAATGCTTCTGCTGTACCGACTTGCGAACTCCGTAGTCTAAGACAAACCCAAATGTTACTTCCTCTCTGAAGCCATCCATGATTCCCTCTGGCAGAGCTGAGGGAATCAGCTCCCGTAACCCTCCATCCCGAAGCAGATGTTGGCATTTCCATCACTGCAACTAGACAGTGAGTTTTCAGAGTGTAGGGGCCATGTCTTCTTCACCCATGAATCTCCCAATCTGTAATCTCTCTCCATTCTGTGTCTGTCTTCCCCTCCTTCCCTTTTCCCTCCCTCTATCCATGCTTCCATCCATCCATCCATCATCAACATTCATTCAGCAGATACATGTTGAGTGATTACTAGGGGTGTTTGAGCTGAGTGATGGGACCCAGAGTCAGAGACACCTGAAATCACCCCTAACTCTGCCTCTTGCCCAGCTCTGTGATTTCAGGAGACTTATTTATACCCTTTGCCTCAGTTACCTTATATACAAAATTAGATAATGAAAAATTCCTGTCTTATGTTGTTTTGTGAAGATTAAACAAACTAATTCATGTAAAATATGCTGAATAAAATCTGGCATCATATTGGCATTCAGTAAGTGCCAGCTGCTGTCATCCCTGTCATCATCATCATCATTAATCATCATCATTATTATTGTTACTCTTTCTGCTGCTGGGAGAAAGGTGAACACGTCAGTGATGCTCCTGAGTCCCTGCCCTCAGCATTTAAAACCTGGAGAGGAAATCAGGCATTAGAGAACACAATTCTGAAACCAGTTTTTGGATTCCAGTTGTACCAGGTGGCAGGCAGGTGTAAGGGTACAGGGGTTTGGAGACACCATCAGCAGATTATAAACTGTGGGACACATTTCCGCCTTATTTTCTATTCCTAACCAGGACTCTCCTGGTGCTTGAAAATCTCTGTGTGTTCCACTGTTCCTCTGGTGGCACAGGCTCAGGTATGAGCCTCCCTTCCCCTCGAGGTGGGCTGGGGCTGGCATCTGGGTAGAAGTGGGGTCTGTCTCCCGCTCCTGGCAATGCCGACAGCATGACAGCACACACTGCTGGAACTCCACTGGGCTGTGTTTCCTTGTGAGATGCTGTAGTGAGAGGGATGGTCATAGCTCCACATCTCAGCATGCTAGGAGCCCTGCTCAGGAGCTCTCAAAGCCTTGACACCCAAATGTTTGGCTGGGATAGAAGGTTCTCCATGCTGTGGCCTCCGTGTTACAGAGACATGCAGTCTTTCTCTGGCTGATTTTATTCTCTCGTGGTTCTTAAATAGTGTTTTAGAGTCTTTCGGGGGCTTTGAGATCCTTTTGAGTGTTTGACGCAAGCTTTGGCCTCTCTGCAGAAAGGCAGACCGTTCTGTACCTATGTGGGAGGGTTAAGGATCATCCTCCCCGGTGAGCTCCAGCCAGGGCCTCTTGGGATTTACCACCTTGTCCACCTTCCAGTCTTAACTGCAGTACTGACGAATCTGGTAAATACTGGGTTAAATGTGTCTGTATTCTCCAAGACCTGGGGCCCTCCTTCCTGCCCCTGTCATCCACCTAAGCAGGCTGTGGACAGTCTCTTATGCTGAGATTATCTAATCCTGGTGGCCTAAGAATGCAGATTACTGTTTGGCCAAGGAGAGACAGTGTAGCCCATTGGTTAAGAAAACAATTTCAGAGCTGCCTAGCCTGGCTTCAGATTCTGGATCTGTCACTCAGTAGTTGCATTATCTGGCAAATTAATTTAACTCTGTCTGCCTCAGTTTCCCTACCTACAAAGCAAGAGAAGTAAGAGTATGTATTCTGAAGGGTTGTTGTAAGGATTCAGTGAGATTCACTTATAAAAAGTACATAAAGCAGCGCCTGGCACGCTGACGGTGCTGGTGGTGGAGCCATGGTTGCTGTGTTCCAGTCTGGCTTTCGCCACGGTGGGCACATGCAGATACTCCACTGTATACAGTGACAGGTACCAACCACCAGGCACCCAGGCACTTTGTAGGCAGGGAGAAGGAGACACATCTGCCGTCAAAGAGCTCGCACTCTAGCAGAAAGCACAGGACAATAATTTCGGGTAACAGAGGAAACGGAGCGGATGCCAGGAGTAGTGGTGGGCATGTGAGGAGAGGGCGCCTGCGTCTCCCAAGGAACTCAGGGATCCCTTCACTGAGGAGCCCTTCATCAAGGAGGTTCTTTTTAAGCTGTGGAGTGAAAGAAGACTGGGGATTGGTCAGACAGACAGAGAAAGGCACTGCAGGTGGAGGGAACAGCATATGTGGAGGCATGGAGGTGACACAGGAGTGAGAGATTGTGGTGCACTCACACTGCACCGTGTGGCACAGCTGGATGGGGAACCAGGCAAGACAGGGCCATGCCAGGCTTCTAGCGACATGCCCAGGAGGTCAGATGTTGTCCTGCAGCCCACCCGCTTTGTGCAGTAGGGCTCACCATCTTTCCCCGCCTTGTGCAGGAGCTCCAGGAGCTGGAGAGGAAGCTGGAGGACCAGCTGGCACAGCAGGAGGCAGCCCAGCAGCAGCAGGCCCTGGCAAGCTGGCAGCAATGGGTGGCCGATGGGCCCGGGATTCTGAACAAACCTGGGGAGGTGGATTCTGAAAGGCAGGTCTCTACTGTCCTGCAGCAAGCCCTGAGCAGGAGCCAGACGCTACTGGAGCAACATCAGCAGAGGTAGGCTGCGTGCCCCGGGGCACGTGAAGATATTAGTCCCCTGAAGGCCTGGAGGGGCCAACGCAGGCATCTCCCACTCAGCCTGACCTTGCCCACCCTGGCCCTCACCTTCCTGCCTAAGGTGTCATCCCATCGCTCCAGCACGAGCTGCTGGCTCTGTAGCTTACTCCTTCTTCCCTGGTGTCCTTCTTCCCTTCAATTTAATATCATTGAAGTTTTACAGTTTAGCATTTTTAAACTTTTTATTTTTAAATATAGACTCACAAGAAGTTGCAAAGATAGTAGAAAGAGTGCCATGTACCCTTCCCCTCTTGGTAACATCTTACATAGTCATGGTATGTGAATTGACGCTGGCAAAGACAATGAACTAAACTAGGCCTTATTCCAATTTCACCACAAACATAGTATTTTATGTCCTGCTTTTGTAAAATTATAAAACAGTCCCCCAGTCTTTTTGTTGTTGTTGTCGTCGTTCTTTGTGTGGTTTTCAATTCGCATGAGACACTTAGCCTCGGCTGTGGCATGAAGAACTCTTGGAAAAACACAGTTTTTAACAGCTTCATACTTTTCCGCTGTGAATAAAAAATGAACATGGAAAGGACTGGAGGCAAAGTCTATACATAGTGTGGTTAATCTTTGAACACACACACTAAATTAATTGGAAGGAAATCGACCAAATTTCAATAGATGCGATTTCTGGGCAGTGAGATTACAGATGATGTTCATATGTTTTATTACACTCTTCTGTATAAACACATCGAAGTGCATTTCTGTCCCATTGAAATAATTGTGCGAGGGGGCTTAATCTGTGTGGTTGGAGGGAAATGCTCAAAGGTACTGGCTTAATTTAGCGTGGGATTTTAGGGCATATAATATTCATATGCTCCTGGAGGAGATGGCTTGTGATCAGACTTTTGATTTGAGTTGCACCTGCAGAAGCTTTGGGGTGTATTAGCCAGCAAGAGCATGAGGCTGATCCACGAAGCCAACTTGAACTGGCTGAAGCATGTGTTAAGCAGACCCCCTCGTGTGGGCATCAGGAAGCCGCATATGAAAAGGTGCCATCCTTTGGTTCTGGATGGCACCTTTTCACATGTGGCTTCAACCCAAGGGCACATGGTGGGTATAGACCCTGGATCCTGGTTTTCTTGGTCATCACCATGAGGACTGAGGCAGAGTTTTCCATGCAGCATCACAGAGATCACCCTGTAAAGTCACAGAAACGTCTCATTGTACCTGCCATGAAACTTTTCACTTTGAGGAGCCTCCTTCCCCGGGAACCCTCCTTGACATGTTATGTGCAAAGTAGCCTAGACAAGAAAAGGAAGGCAGTCTTTCTGGCCATCTGTTTCAATGGGCATAGTTTTAAAATTGTGTGGCTTAAATGTGTGATTCTTTTGTTGTTAAAATAACTAGGCTGGGTGCAGTGGCTCACACCTGTAATCCCAGCACTTTGGGAGGCCGAGGCAGGCGGATCATGAGGTCAGGAGTTCGAGACCAGCCTGACCAACATGGTGAAACCCTGTCGCTACTAAAAATACAAAAATTAGCCGGGCATGGTGGCATGCACCTGTAGTCCAGCTACTTGGCAGGCTGAGGCAGAAGAATCACTTGAACCTGGAAGGCGGAGGTTACAGTGAGCCAAGATCATGCCGCTGCACTCCAGCCTGGGCAACAGAGTGAGACTCCGTCTCTAAATAAATAAATAAATAACTAGATGATCTCATACTATCACTTTATAACAAAACCAAACTCAACGTATATTTTATTTTCACTCTAGTTTGAGAGAAGAGCAACAGAACGGTGTCGTCCTAGAAGACTTGTTGGAAAACATGGAGGCAGACACCTTCGCAGCCCTGTACAGCCAGGTGAGAGGACACTGGCTGTGTCTGAGGCCGCCCCCGGCCAGCACATCACTCCATCTTTTTCTCAGAGTCCACATTTCCTCACTTGCAGGATGGTGATGAGGAGCCTTGGGAACTGCAGAGCACATGTGTGCAAAGCCTCTGGCATGGCCCAGCACACAGAGGGCACTCAATCAGTGCTAATGGCAGCAACCACAACAGTAATCACGTTTCCCCCGTCGATGTTCTCTGTGGTTTGTCAGGCACCCAGATATTCTCCTTCTCCTCTATCTTTAACTAAGTTTAGTATACAAAAACTAGGCTCTACCAGGAACAAAGTGGGTCAGAGAAAACTGGGCCAGAGCCATAAATCAGCGATATTGCACCCCACATGACACCTCTCTGAGTTGAGATCAGCCAGCCTTTCTCATCCTTGGCCAGTCACAGCACTCACCTCCCTTCCTGATACACAGCCCCGAGGCCGTGCATGGAGCCTTATGCAGTCAGGTACCTGACTGTCTGCTACTGGTCGGGTTTTATACGCATCCCGCGATGGGCTTCCTGTGCTTCTGGTGTCTGTAAGTAGCAGGAAATATGATTTCAGACAGTGGTGAATGCAAACCACATGACTCCGGAGAGGCGCTTGCTCACGCAGTGACATCAGGGTCATGTTCTGCGATTCTTTTCACAGTTCCTTCTCACAGTTTCCAGCTGCCATAACTTTCAGAGCAACGAAAGAACTGGAAGAACTGCCACCATGCCTGTTCTTTCTCATCAAGGAAACAAATGCCCCCAAGTCCCTGCGGCGATTCCCCTCCCAACCTGAAAGCTGGCCCGCAGACCTTGCTAGCTGCAGGAGAGGTGCAAGTCACTTACCCCCAGCCTCTGAGAAGGGAGTCAGCAGGGAAGAGGGGTTGGGGCACTTTTAGGTGTCCAGCCGGCTACATCCACAGACACACCCAGCTTCCTGAATGGATTCGTTTTTTGTCACTGCTGTCACAAATGACCACAAACAGCAGCTTATCACAGCTACAAACTTACCTTGTAGTTCTGTAGGTCAGAAATCCAACATGGGTTTCTCCAGGCTAAAATCAAGGTGTTGGCAGATTTGCCTGCCTTTCAGAAGCTTTAGGGGGAGAATCTGTTTCCTGTTCACTTAAGTAATTGGCAGGGCCTGGTCCATTGTGGTTGTAGGACTGAGGTCCTTGTTTCTTTGCTGGCTGCCAGCCAGGGGATATTCCTGGCCTCCGGTGGCACCTACATTCCTTGGCTCATGGCATCCTTTCTTCATGTTCAAAGACAGCAAAATCATATCTCTCTGGCCCTTCTTCTGGCCTCATCATCTCTCTCTCTGACCTAACACAGAAGGAAGAACCTCTGCTTTTAAGGATCCACATGATGATTACGTTGGAACCACCTGGATAATCTAAGATAACCGCTTTCCCACCCCATCTCCAGGCCCTTGACCTTACTCTCATCTGCAAAGTACCCTTCTTGTAAGGTGACATTTTCGTAGGTCCCAGGATGGGAGCGTGGACATTTTGGAGAGGGGTCATCATGCTGTCGAATGTACAAAACAAGGTGCCACCGTTAGCACTGGAGTGACAGTGTCCAAACAGGGCAGGGAGGAGCCGGTGCTTCCTGCACACCTGCCATGCTGTGAGTGTTGTCCTAGGCACTTAGGTCTGTTATTCATTTAATCCTTGCAGAAAGATGGAAAATAGGCAGTATTATCCTGTTTTATGAATAAAGGGACTGAAGCACAGAGAGGTGGTGAAGGCATGAGGGCTCGCCACTGCTGGTGGGGGGCTCAGGATTCAGCCCAACCTGGTGCTGCACAGACTGTGCTCTTCCTGACCGGCTCTGAAGGGTCTGAAGCAGATGACCACCCCTGGCCTCTGTCTCTGCGTAACTGAGCCACCTCCCACTCTCCACTTTGATTCCCCCACCTTTTTCTTTGTTACTTTGAGACTCCACAGAAAGCAAGTATCACCAGTGGAATTTCAGCCAGGTTCATTTCTAGATTGTGGGCCCTTTCCAATTGTGAACTCTGCATGCATCTCAGTCTGCTTCTGCTATCATTCAAAATTCCTAGATTGGATAATTTATCAAGAACGGAAATTCTTGGCTGGGCATGGTGGCTCACGCCTGTAATCCCAGCACTTTGGGAGGCCAAGGCGGGCAGATCACGTGAGGTTGGGAGTTCAAGACCAGCCTGACCAACATGGAGAAACCCCATCTCTACTAAAAATACAAAATATTAGCCGGGTGTGGTGGCACACACCTGTAACCCCCGCTACTCGGGAGGCTGAGGTAGGAAAATCACTTGAACCCGGGAGGCAGAGGTTGCAGTGAGTCGAGATCGCACTATTACACTCCAGCCTGGGGAACAAGAGCGAAACTCTGCCTCAAAAAAAAAAAAAAAAAAGAATTAGAAATTTTTTATCAATTTTCTCACAATTTTGGAGGCTGGAAACTCCAAAATTAAGGCACCTGCATATGCAGTGTCTGGTGAGGACAGCTCTCTGCTTCCAAGAGGGCGCCTTGTTGTGGCGTCCTCTGGAGGGCAGGAAGACCATGTCCTTGTGTGGCAGAGGGGATGGCAAGGCAAAAAGGGCCTAGCTAGTTCCCTGGAGCCCTTTTATAAGACACTAATCCTATTCTTGAGGGCAGAGCCCTCATGGGCTCATCACCTCCCAAAGGCCCCCCTTCCTAATACAGTGGCATTTGGATTAAGTTTCAACATGAATTTTGGAAGAGACACAAATGCTCAAAAGGTAGCACTCTCCTGAAGAATTGGCTCTATGAGGAGTAAATGCGGCCACACTGGAAGCTCTGGGAAGCAGGGACCAGAGAGGGTTGTTGTTTTTCTCGGTCCCCAGCTTGGTGCTTTGTGTAGTCTGCCCAATAATATATACTCAGCTGAGCTTCTTTCTTCCCAACTCCTGTGTATTAATAAGAGCTCTCCAGAGAAACAGAACCGATAGGATGTGTCTGTAGAGAAAGAGATTTATTTAAGGAATTGGCTCACATGATTGTGGAGGCTGGTGAGTCCAAATTCTGCAGGGTTGCCCTGCAGGCTGGAGACTCAGGAAGGAGATGCACTTCGAATCCAAAGGCCGTCTCTGGAAGAATGATCTCCTGCTCAGGGCTGGTCAACCTTTTTGTTCTCTTCAGGTCTTCAGCTAATTGACTGAGGCCAGCCATATTATGGCAGGCAATCTATTTTCCTCAGAGTCCACCAGTTTAAATATGAATCTCATCCCAAAATGCCCCCACAGAAATAAGAGGAATGTTTAACTGAACATCTGAGTGCAGTGGCCCAGCCAAATTGACAAGTCAAATGAACCAGCACACCCAGTCTGGAGGAAGCCCCATATTTTGCCATTTTCTTTTTTGTACCAGAGAAAAGAATCATCAGGAAGCTCAGTCCTCCATCCTCCCTGTGTCCTTCCTCCTCCTGCTGCTCATCCTATGGAGAAGCAGGGAGGAAGTGGGGAGAGAGGCTGTCCACTGGCCACTCCGGGCCTCACTGTCACCCTCCTCTGCCTAGAGAGTGTGTCCCTGTGTTGCTTTATGGTCCATTTCTTTAATTTTTTTAATTATTATTTCAACTGGGGAACAGGTAGTTTTTGGTTGCATGGCTAAGTTCTTTATTGGTGATTTGTGAGATTTTGGTGCACCCACTACCCGAGCAGTGTATACTGTACCAGTGTGTTAGTCTTTTATCCGTCACTGGCCCCCCCTCTTCCCCCTGAGAACCCAAAGTCTATTATACCATTGTTATGCCTTTCCATCCTCATAGCTTAGCTCCTTTCATAAATAAGAACATACAATATATGGTTTTCCATTCCTGAGTTCCTTCACTTAGAATAATGGCCTCCAGCTCCATCCAAGTTGCTGCAGAGGCCATTATTTCATTCCATGCTGTGGCTCAGTAGTCGTCCATGGTGTATATACAGCACATTTTCTTTATCCACTCAGGTGATGGGCACTTAGGTTGGTTCCATATTTTTACAGTTGTGAATTGTGCTGCTGTAAACATGCTTGCACAAGTGTCTTTTCCATATAATGACTTCTTTTCCTCTGGGTAGATACCCAGTAATGGGATTGCCGGATCAAATGGTAGTTCTACTTTTAGCTCTTTAAAGAACCTCCATACTGTTTTCCATAGTGGTTGAACTAGTTGACATTCCCACCAGCAGTGTGAAAGTGTTCCCTTTTTACCCTTTGTGATCCATTTCCATCTGTAGATGTGGCATCAGATTCAAAGCTCATGACCCATGTGGATGCTTTTTGTGTCACCTCTTTCAGGAAGACTTGACCCAGTGAACTGACTTGTCTGGAGGATTACTGATCAGGGACCACTGCAGCTAAAGGGCTGTGTCAGTGGGTTGGTCCATCCCCACATTGACTGGTGGGATCCCAGCTGTAAAGGCTCAGACCCTGCCTCAGGAAGAGGTGAATCTGCAGGGTGTTTATGAAGTCACTGTTTATCCGTCTTGTATCCAACAAATGTCTCTCTGTTTCAGGAACTAGGTTAAGTGCTGGAGACAGGGAATCATGCATCATTGACTTCATCCTAAGAGCCTAGTTCCAGAGGCACGCTGGAAATGGGGCAGTTACAGCAGAGCTGGTTAAAACCATTGTGAGATCAGAGGAGGGACACCTGACCCAGAAGGTGGGGTCGGGGAAGAGTCGTGCAGAGTGCAAAAGAATACGCTGGAGAGAGACAGAGAGTAGCTTAGGAGAAATATGCTCTAGGCAGAAGGAAGCTCATGGGTAAGGGCTTAGTGGCCCTGGAGAGCAACAGTCAGGGAAGGATGAGTAGTTCAGCCTGACAGTGGAGGGAGGCCATGGACGGGGAGCGTCAGGACGTGGAAGGAGCTCTGGTATTTGGAACAGCACCTTTCCCTGTGGCTTCAGTGAAAGCACTTACCAAGGTCATAGCGACCTTGTGTTTCCAAGTGGTCGAGTCCCTGTCTTTGTTTCTCCTGACCTCTCTGTGGTCCCTGACCTCCCAGCCCACCCTTCTAAACACGTCCTCTCCTTGGCTTCTGGCACCTGGACTCGTTGCCTCCCACCCCTGGCCACCCCTGCTCAGGCCCCTTGCTGTACACTGCTCCTTCTCACGGCCTGTGGGTGCTGAGCACCCAAGAGCTCTGTCCTTGGGCCTCTTTTCCTCTCCAGCTACGGCCACTCCCTTGTTGATGTCATCTACATATTGCTCACTCCTAATTCCATCTCCTGATCTCGAGACTTGACCCACAACTGCCGGCTACATGCCTCCACTAGTCTCTCTGTCCAAATGGAACTACAGGGACCGCCATTCCTGTGCCCACACTTGCTCCCCCATCTCAGTAAATGGCAGCTCCCTTTACCCAGTGAAATATTGGTGCCATCCTTTATTTCTCTTCTCCTTTCCACGGAAGTTATTGGCTCTGCCATTGATATGTCTCCGAAGTCTGCTCACCCCTGGCCACCTCCCTCCCCTACTCTGTCCAAACTGCCTTCATCCCTCGCCTGGGATACTCTTCTTCCTCCACCTCTCTTGTTGCAGATGGTCCATTTTCACACACCACCCAACGCAACCTTTTGTAAGTGAAAATCAGCTCGTGCTGCTGCCCTGCTTAAGATTTTACCATGACTTCGCATTTCAGTGCAAATACAAGGCAAAATCCTTACATGGTGAAAAGGCCCCGTGTGAGCTGAACTCCTGTCCTTCTGACCTTTCTCCATCCCTGTCCTTGTCCCATGCTCCCTGCCAGCTTCCCCCCTCGGGGTCTCTGCTCTGGTTTCCCTTCTGTCTCCGTTTGCCCATGGCTTCCTTATTCCCTGCGTGTAGGTGGCTGCTCAGATGTCACCTCCTCAGAGAAGCCTTCCCTGGCCACCATCGAAAACATGGGCTGCCCCCACCCATCACCCTCTGTCCCTTTGTCCTGCCTCATGTTTCATCCTTGTCTGCTTTTTGAATGCCTACATCTGTCTCTTTGACTTGACTGTAACCCTGGTGAGGGCAGGGACTTTGTTTCACTCTCTGCTCTCACTCCAGTGCCTAGAAGAGCATCTGGCACCTAGTAGGTCTCCACCCTCATGTTATGAGTGAATAAGTGAGTTAATGCACCAGCAGTGTGCTGTGGCACGCTGCATAAAGAAATCCAACAATGACCATGTCCCGATCCCTGGGACCTGCGAGTGTCGTCTTACATAGCAAAAGGGACTTTGATTTGATGTGTGATTAAGTTAAGGATCTTTAGATGAGGCATGAGGACTCCCCTGGATCATCCCTGTGTTCTTAGAAGAGGGAGACAGGAGGGTCAGGGACAGGGGAGAAGGCTGTGTGATGAAGATGATGGAGACGGAGATTAGAGAAAGGTGATGAGGAAGGGGGCGGGCACTAGCCCAGGAACACAGGCGGCCTGCAGCAGCTGGAGGAAGCAAAGAGACAGATCCTCCCCTGGAGCCTCCAGGAGGAACCAGCCCTGCCCACACCTTGACTTTAGCCCAGTGAGGCTGATTTCAGACTCTGGTTCTCCAGAACTGTACGTAGATACATGTCTGTCATTTTACGCCACAAGTTTATGGTAATTTGTCACAGCTGCATAGGAAACTCACAGATGCCACCGCAGCAGCACCCGGCATTGGCTGAGTGCCTGCTGTTGGCCAAACACTGCATTCAGCTGCTTTGTAAAGTCAAGATTCCTTCTAGGTGAAGGTAACGGAAATTCAACTCACTGCTTTGAACATAAAAGGAGATGGATTGATCCCCCGCTGTCCCCCAGAAGAGCAGAACTGAGGTTTCAGGGCTCAAGTGGCCAAGGGACCCTCTGAGTCTTTCTGCTTCTCCATCTCTGATGAGCTGTCTCCACACAGAGGGACACGTGTAGCTGGCAGCCCTGAGTTCATGGTCTTTCAACACCCGGGCGTCCTGACGTTGCTGTGTAAAATGCCTCTCTCTCTCTCAGATTTGCCCTGTAAAACCCCAGGGAAGGTTTCTGATTGGCAAGTGGCCAGACACCCTGCCCTGTTACTGGGAGAAGTGGTTGGTTTTTGTGTCATTGCAGCATAGAACAGTTTTACAGGCCCTAGCTCATTTTGTCTGCACAAATGTCTTTGCTGTAGGTATTATTGTGACCCTTACTTTTGAGACAAGGTCCCACTCTGTCACCCAGGCTGGAGTGCCGTGACACAATCATGATTCACTGCAGCCTCGACCTCCCAGGCTCAAGTGATCCTCCTGCCTCAGCCTCCCAAAGTGCTGGGATTACAGGTGTGAGCCACTATGCCTGGCCAAAACCTTTAACTGTGAAATTATTTTAGATTCACAAGAAGTTCACAGAGCTCGTACAGTTTCAGGCCCCTGACCCCCATTTTCACTCAGTTTCCCACAGTGCTTCCTGTCAGACAGCATCAGAACCGGGAAGTTGACATCGATATGAAATGTACGTATAGTTCTCTGTCATTTTATCTCATGTACATTCATGTAACCAGCACCACCACCATCAAGACACAGAGCTGCCAACCACCGCAAAGACCACCTGTGCTGCCCCTTGATGGTTACGCCCCTCCCCTGCCCCACCTGGGCATCTACTTCTGCTCTCCAGCTCCAAGTGTCATCACGCTCGGGTGGCTACATGTGTGGAATCATGCAGCACGTGACCTTTGCACACTGGCTCTTTCCCCTCGGCTTAATGCCCCTGGGATGCTTCCAGTTCTTTCTTTTGACTGCAGAATGCCATCCTGTGGCATGGGTGTAGCACGGTGTCTTTAATGGTCCACTGGTTCTGGGACACTTCTGTTGTTTCCAGAGCCTGCACCGCTTACCTGGTGCCTAATGACTTCATGGAATGTGAGGCGGAGGAGAGAGACATTCATGATGAATCTCCCTGCTGCACGCTGGGGCTTTTGCTGTAGGGATTTGGGCACTGCCCCAGTGACTTGAGAGCAGCTGGACAGGATGGATGGAGGCTTTGGAAGTGACCTGGGAGCCAAGGTTGCTGACCAAATAGATTTTTTTGATAACTCCGAAAGTTTGGGAACATGCGTTCCAGACTAAGCTACTGAAATATTTATCACTCCAAGACAGAATGTCCTCAGAATGTGATCATGAAAAAGGGTGGTTCAAGTTGAGGGGTGGCGAGGGTCTGAGCTCCCTCCGCTGTTTCCCTTAGGAGCTGAGACTGGCGTCGTACCTGGCGAGGATGGCCGTGGTGCCCGGGGCCACGCTTCGCCGGCTCCTGAGCGTGGTGCTGCCCACAGCCTCACAGCCTCAGCTGCTGGCCCTGCTGGATTCGGGCAGTGAGAGACATCCGGACCACACGGCTGAGAGCAGTGGTGGAGTGGAGCAGGCTGACGTGGGCAGGTGGAGGTGAGTGCTGTGGAGGGGCTGCCTCCCAGGGCATGTCCCTGTCCTGAAGGGCCCCCATGAGTCCTTGAGGTCACGGTAGGCCCATGTATTTTGTTCATGCTTTCTAATTTTGTCACCAATTTATTTTTAGAATAGAATCTTAATAAGTTTACCCAGAGCCATAAATATGTCATTCATGCCCATTAAAGAAAATGTAAAAAAATGCATAAAAAGAGGCAGAAGAGTCTGGGCATCGTGGCTCATGCCTGTAATCCCAGCACTTTGGGAGGCCGAGGTGAGAGGACCACCTGAGGTCAAGAGTTTGAGACCAGCCTGGCCAAGATGGTGAAACCCCATCTCTACTAAAAATACAAAAATCAGCTGGGCGTGGTGGTGTATGCCTGTAGTCCCACCTACTCTGGAGGCTGAGGCAGGAGAATTGCTTGAACCCAGGAGGCAGAGGTTGCAGTGAGCCGAGATTGTGCCGCTGCACTCCAGTCTGGGCGACAGAGCAAGACTTTGTCTCAGGGACAAAAAAGAAAAGAAGAAGAGAAAGAAATATCCATGGTTCTACCACCTGGAAAAATAACTGCTAGTATCCCGTTAACATTGCTTCCTCCAGAAGGTATTTCTCTTCTGGGTTTTATGAGTGTGTGTCTGCAAGTGTGGGAGCATGTGTTTGTGTGTTGGTGTATGTGTGTGAGTGTGTCATGCATGTAAATATGTGTATTTGTATGTCGAGTGTGGAGAGGGCACGCAGTGGATACAGCCTTGCTACATTCTGCATTTCAGAATCTTGTAGCAGAAGCGATTTTGCTCCTTACCTGTTAACTTTCATGCAAATGTCCCCCATATAATTCCTACCCCATTACTTAGATTATATTTCCTGCTACTATTATTAACTTCAAATTTATTCTTTCAATGTTGTCGACATGTGGCACATGTGGATATTATTTTTACTGGCTCCTCATGCTGAGAGGTGTAGCATAGAGCATGGACGTGTCATCCTGTCACTGGACATTCAGTTTGGGCCCATTTCTTCCTTGATTGTGGGTAACTCTTTGGTCAGCAAAGGCTCTTTATGGGGAAAGGCAGGAAGGGGTGTGGAGTAAGGCGGGTTTGGGGGTCAGCCAGCAGTGCCCGTGGAGAATGTAGTAGGTGGGAAACAAGGCTTCGAGGAAAGCTGTGGCCAGGATGGAGATGTTGAGCTCCAGACCGTAAAGCTCGCAGCCTCAACAAGGACGCAGAGGAGGCCGGGAGGGCATCTGGGAACCTGAGAGCCCATGGAACTGCCATGACTGTGTGGATAGAATTTGTCCTGAGAAAAGGAGGAATGTTTTTCTTATCAGAGAGTATCTGACTCAAAAAGCCAGGAAGTACTGCTGAGGGTGAATAGAGTAAGGCTGGGATGCGAGGAAAGGTGAGGAAGAGGGAACAATAGCAGCGGGTGTGGGCAGGAGGCCACAGGGGCGAGGAGCCTTCCCAGTGGCCTTGGGGCCCAGCACAGTCGGGAAGTGCGATGTGGACCACAGTCAGAGGGCTGGGTGTGCGCTGGTCTGAGGGCTGGGTGTGGGTGTGGCCAGAGAGCTGGGCATGGGCGTGGTCACAGGGTTGGGTGTGGGTGTGGCCAGAGGGCTGGGATGGGCGTGGTCAGAAGGCTGGTTGTGGTCTGAGGTCAGAGGGCTGAGTGTGGGCGTGGTCAGAGGGCTGGGTGTGGGCGTGGTCAAAGGGTTGGGCGTAAGTATGGTCAGAGGAACTAGAGGGAGCCAGGGCAAGGCCACGTCTGCCAAACTGAATGTCCAGTGACAGGATGACAGTTACATATTCTGTGCTACATCCCTCCGTGGAATATTAGGAGCCAATAATATTAATATTATTAATAATATTTAAAGTAAAATCAGGTTTCACTGCCTGGTTTTCCCAGTGCACTGTCTGCCTGGCTGCCTGCGAGGACATGCAGGTGGCAAATACTCAAGGTGACTCTGGAGCAGGAACAGGTGTGACGCGGGGAGGCCACTTCCTCCTGCCTACCCCTGAGGACCTTGTTTTGGTGGCTGCCCCTTCAGCCAGCTTAGTGTCGGAGGCCGGTGGGGAGAGATAGACAGGCCAAGCTGGGACAAGGCAAGAGGACTGGAGGTCACTGACACCGTGGGCATGAGCATGACCTTTCTTTGTCCAGCCTCATGGCCAGGCAGCCTGGATGACTCTGGAGTCCCAGGCCACTAACCCAATCCCTGAGGGCAGGGCATATACTATTCTTGTGTCCCCAGCACCTGTCATCTGGCCATTACATCAGTTACGAGTCTTGGGTTTCAAGCAGTGGGAACTGAGTAATTAATCCAAGCAAGAATGGGGTGTATTGAGGGCCATGTCAGAATCCAGGAAAGAGCCTGCGTTCAGGCCCCAGGAAGGGCAGGGCCAGGGAAGCACTTGGGGCGTCCTCTCTGGGTGCTGCCTTCAGAGGACCGCCGTTCTCTGCTCAGGAGTTAGACTCCTGGGAGAGAGACTGCCTGGCCCAGTGTGGGAGAGGCTCTATCTCCAACAGCAGCTGGGCAGGTGTGAGCTGCCAAGGCAGAGGAATGAGTCTAGCACATCCTTTACTGACGACGCCTCCCACTCTCCCGGACAACACTCTCCAATGCCCTTTTTCAGTCTGGTACCACACAGCTTCGTGGCTTTATGGCTCCCCGCCTAGTCCACCTTCCAGGCTTCCCCTTTGCTTTCTCAACTTCTGTATTTGCACATGCATAAAGCACTATGGAGCTCCCACTCTGTCCTCTGCCTTAGGCACTAGGGCTACATGGAGGGTAAGAGACAAAGTCCTGCCTGCACAGCGTTCATCCCAGTGGGGGAGGCGGCCCGTGTGTCAGTCAGCCACAGAGCCCATTCCTTCATGAGTGCTCCAAGAGGCTCCCTTTGCTCAAATGTCTCCCCCAACCCCAGTCAGCCTTCTTCTGTCTGTGATCCCCTAAACTTGACCCCTTGAGGGCAGAGGTTGTATCTTGATCAGGCTCGAGAAGGCGTTTGATGGATGTGCAATGAATGAGGGAAAGAATAAATGGCGAGCTCTCTGGGGAGGGGGTTCCTAGTGGTAACCAAAGGTGGCATTGAGAGCTGGGTAGGATTACTCATCACTTAAAGATTTTGGTCTTTGTGAAACTATAAGACTCCCTTCTTGCCTACAGGAAACACCAGAGCTGGTGGCAAGCCTTAGACAGCAAACTGCGAGGAGATCTCATAAGCAGAGGGTTAGAAAAGATGCTGTGGGCTCGCAAGAGGAAGGAAAGGTAATGATGGGCACCTGCCTATGTGGCTGGGCTGGGGATGAGCCAAGCTGCCTGTGTGCCGGCATGGGGAGGCAGGAGGTGACAAGGAAAAGGAGATTGCTGCAAACAGACAAAGATTTGTGACCCTGAAGACAAATCTTTATTTAGTGGGCTGGATTTAGAAGCTGAAGATGAGCTTGTGGCTACCAGTGAGAGAATGTTCTCAACATTTATTAGCATTTAAGTTACTGTATTTATTTTAGCTAACAGCTATTTGTAATGGGATGTAATTAGAAGAATTCCTTATAGCTGCTTAGGCTACTGTTCACAAAGCCCTTTTATGTCTTGCTGCATGAAGCCTTCCAGAAAGTGGGGATGATAAAATGGAAACTCGGGGTGGTGGGGTCAGAAGAAGAGGCCCCAGGCCTGCGGATGGTAAACAGTGACCATGAGCTTTGGGGCTGCCTCACTGACTCCCTTTATTTCCTTAAACTTCCAACCTCGTGCTTTTTACCTTCAACCCAATGCATTTTTCCTTGGCTGTGGCTATCACACACCTAGAGAGCAGAGGGAAGTGAGGGGCGGAGCGGTCTTAGATTTCTGCAGACTGTTGACCAAGTGTCTCCTGTGATTCCAGCTAGAGAAGATGTAAACAAAAAGCAGCATCAGGGAGATTCCTAAGGGGTTGAACAGTGCTATCAATGTGTACTCCAGAAGCAGGGCTGTTCAGGGGACGTCTCTACCTCAGTCCTGCCCCTTCCACAACTGCGCAGAGCTAAGTTGAAGGTGCTGAGACCAAGCTTCATGGATTGTTCATGATAAAAACTTGGAACCATTAGTAGCCTGGTTATCATAATATAGTCTCAGATCTAAGTTAGATCAGGATATTGGCCAAAAGAAGTACATGCAATCCTAGATAAAGAAAATTAAATTCCATCTGTGGAACTCTAAAGTATACCATTAGGAACATTCCTAGGCTGCACTAATAGAAGTGGAGTGGATTCAGATCAAGAAACATGATGGTCCCACTCTCCTGGCTCACTGTGATGGCCTTTGCTCTGTCCAGAGGCACCATGGATCTATGGTGGAGAGACGGAGCTGGGTTTGAATCCTTGTGCAGATGTATTAGTTGCAAGGGCAGTAATTAGTGGTGATGGCAATGGAGCAGAATCTGCCACATGCCTCTGGGAGGGTCAGCAAGCCTGCCAGTGACATGCAGCAGGTGCATCCCCCATGACATGACCTTGTTCTGCCCTGCTTGGGCAGAGAGAGAGCATTGTGGCTTTCAGGATGTATAGGGCTCTTGGTGTTGGTCATGGTCACTATCAAGAGCACCCTGGGAGTCAGAGGTTGCACTACCCATGGCCAAGATTCCAGCACCCTTTTTATGGAACATTCTCAAAGTGTACTGCACTCTTCTATGGCAAGCACATTGTGCCTGACTTCTAACTGTTGCTTTGTAACCAGGTTTCATCAGGCTGCTTTTAGTGTGAGTCCCATAAGGTGTACTCATAAATGTTTAACCATTGGCTGGTGGGGAGGGGGAATGGTGGTTTCTGATTTGCAGCATTTGCCAATTTCCATGGTGTAAATATTCCCACCATGGCCGATCTGATGTCACACGAACAACGTGATGAAAGTGGGCTCTCAAAACTCCTGAAGATGGAATGGTCGTGAGCCAGGATGACTGCCGTGCACCACTGTCACAGGCTTCTGCTAATTTTACAGCAATCTGGTGACCAAGGAGGAAAATAACCTTTCCTTAAAATGGCATTGGATTGGGGAATTCAGGACTCAAAGGGGGATTCTCTTGGAGAACTCAGCACACTCTGGAGGGTACATTACCAAAAATGTTGAATTTGTTCTTTTCTTCCTTCTTTAGCATATTAAAGAGGACATGTCTCCCTCTCAGAGAGAGGATGATATTCTCTGGAAAAGGAGGTTGGCCACACCTGTCACTGGAGCCCATTGGCGAACTGGCCCCTGTATCCATTGTAGGGGCAGAAACCATTGATATATTAAACACAGGAGAGAAGCTCTTTATATTCAGAAATCCAAAGGAGCCAGAGATCTCACTGCGCGTTCCTCCCAGGAAAAAGAAGAACTTTCTGAATGCCAAAAAGGCCACACAGGCCTTGGGCATGGACTAGCCCAAGGGAAAGCCCCACGGGAGCACCTGATGACAGAAGGGATTATTTTCTCCTGCCAAGCAGTCTGTGTGTGTGTGTGTGTGCTTATAATGTACAACTCGCAAATATAGATTGCACATGCAGAAGGCACAGAACCCCCAGTGCATGCCCACTTTCACTGACTTGGTTTAATCTTGTCTCATGAATTTCCAGATGGCCCACTGTCTTCCATATCACAAGGACATGAGTACTCCCTTTCAGCCCCACCTCCCCAGGCCCCTGAGGGAGACCCCTACCCTGCAATCCACACAACATCCTCTGCTGAATAAGGTATGGGCTGTGTGGTGATAGCCAGATTCTCTGCTCTTAATGTTTTGTGTTTCTTACCTATTCTATTTTTATAAAGGGAACTTTAAAAAATAAATGTGTTTTGCACAAAGCTCTTTCTAATGAAACCCATGTTTGCTTTACGTAAGAGGTATTTATTTGTAACCATGTCTTGTGTTTTCTTCCCTGTGTGGTGTTCAATAGAGAGATTCACCCTCCATCACTCCAGTTGCCAAAAAAATGTGCCAGCCCCTGGGGTCTACCTTCACCAATTCAAATCAGGGTTATTTTCCCATTTTACAAATGAGGAAATTCAATGGCATAGAAAACTGAAGTGATTTTTACAAGATCATAAAGCTAATAAATAGGAAAATCAGGATTCACGCTTTATGGCCCCCAAACTTTATCCTTTGTCCTGGCCTTGATCCATGGACACATAACAGCCCTCACACGGTTACCTATAAATAGACTATGTCAAGTCCTTGTGATTCACCAGGCGCCTGTGTAAGTGCTGACCCTTTCCATCCACACAGCAGTGCCTGAGGCCAGTGATGTCTCACTGGGGCTGGACCACATATGGTATCAGCAAGGCAGATAATACAATTACAGTGGGTATTTCCTGATAGGAGGGGATGATGAGGATGGGTATCCTCTCACCAGCAAGGGAAGAAAGGGATGATTGATAAAAGATCAAACATCTGTCACATGAGAGGTGCTGCTAGACCCTTCCACCAACAACTTTAACCTACTTTTTAATGGTCACTTATACCCCAGCAAGGTGAGTATCCCTATTCCCATTTTACTGCCAAGGAAGCTGAGACTCAGAGTTTAAATAATTTGCCTACAATCAAACCACCTCTATGGGAGGAATCCTCAATTTGAACCTGAGTCTCCTAACTTATCTGCCTTGGATGTCCCATTTCCATTGGCAACAAGAAGACTAAGTCTTATTTGCAGTTTCCTATTAGCATGAAGGCAGCACCGGGACAGGGACCTTGACTGGGTTGCACTTCTCCCAGGGGACAGCAGCTGTGCACCATCTTCAGCTGCCACTTGACTGGCTGCATTGGCAGGAATGTGCAGGTAAGCAGTTTGAATGCAGAGGAGAAGAGATGATGGCGCCAGTTTTCCCATCAATCAGAATGTCCAATGGGCCTTGAGTGAGGACAGAGAAAGAGCAATGATTTTTACACACAGGACAGCAGAGTGGAGAATGCATGGTCCTGGGAATAAACAGACTGGAGTTCAAATCCTGCTCCACTACTTGTGAGCCATGTGTTACTGGGCAGGTAGATACATCTGGATCTATAAAGTCTACAACATCTATGTCCTTCTCTTCCTTTTTAAGGCAAATGTCTGCATTTCTGATCATTTCCTGCATCTACAAGGGCTCTGCTAGAATTATGCATAGTTGAAAGTAGATTGCATGCAAAGATTTCAAAAAATAGCTCAAAATTATAGGCTGAAGCCTGATTGAAGAGGCTATTAACAACAGGAGGTGCCCAAGCTGCTCAAAATCTAGTGTTTGAACCAATAACTCCTTGTGTTAATAAAGACTAACTGCTGATTTATCCTTTGTAAAATTACTGCACAAAAAAATGCCAAGATGTGTTGGAGAAAGCCTGTTTCTGGAATCAGATAGACTGGGTGTAAATTGTGGCTCTGCAACTTTTCAGCAGTTACTTTACCACTCTGAACTTCAGTCTCTTCATCTGTAAAACAGAGGTCCTAATGCCTTACTTTAGAATAGGGATGTTGTAAAGAGTGAAGATACTAGATATTATGTCTATAGTGTTGATGAAATGTTGGTGGGCAATAAGGTAGTTTATTTATTTGATTATATTTTAACAACTTCACAAAAATAAATTCAATATAATATGGTTTGGCTCTGTGTCCCCACCTAAATCTCACCATGAATTGTTATCCCTATAATCCCCATGTCTCAAGGGCAGGACCAGGTGGAGATAATTGGATCATGGAGGCAGTTTCCCTCATACTGTTCTTGGGAGTGAGTCTCACGAGATCTGATGGTTTTGTAAGTGTCTGGCATTTCCCCTGCTGACATTCCTTCTCCTTCCTGCTGCCCTGTGAAGAAGATGCTGTTCTTTCCCTTCATCTTCTGCCATGGTTGTAAGTTTCCTGAGGCCTTCCCAGTCATGCCGAACTGTGAGTCAGTTTAACCCCTTTTCTGTATAAATTACCAAGTCTCACGTATTTCCTTATAACAATGTGAGAACAAACTGCTTCTTTCATTCCTTTTGCCACTCTAGGTGAAGGCAGTTTTCTTGAAGGGCTGTATCTTCACACGGAAGCTTAATCATGAGAGAGAAGCTCCAAGGGACTTGGACTGAGAGGACTTGAGCTCAAGTACGGGTTTTGTTACTTACAAACTGGGCAAAGTTGATAAATTTCCTAAGTCTCTGTGGGGCTCAGCTCCCTGTATATTCTGTCTTCAAGGAGTTTGATCTAGTTGCATTGACTGACACAAAAATAAAAAATTGGTAAATGCAAAGGGTAAGACACACATATGAAAATCCTGCCATGGGAATTTGGGAGTGAGGTCACACCTGGCAGGGTCAGTTGGTGCTTATAACTCTTCTACATTTCCACATTGCACTCTTCGGAAGGAAGTCAGTATGAGCAGCACACATTTAAGGAATAGGGACATAATTCCACCTCCACGAGGGCAAAGTGTCTACATAGATTATTTGGAATTCTGCATGGGAGATGATCTCCATTTATTTTTCAATTTTTTTTAAATCAGTATGGACTCATGGATATTTATTTTACACTTTGAGTTATAAGCAAATAACAGTTTGTTTCCCCAATTTTTCCAGCTTTGAACATTGGGAGCTCATTCTGTTGTCTTCCATATCCCTTTAACATAACCCCATCAGTGCACATTTTTAAGTTTTTCTGAGTACTTCCTTATTTTATGACACTATAAGATCGTCTAAAAGGTGAACATTATAACAAATGAGCACTATAAAAAAATTCTCATCTTCTGTGTTTCCTGTCTCAGTACTAGAATCAGACATTTCTCCAAGGAGTCTGATTCCTTGTATTGGAGAACGGTATTAGAAACCAAAATCTGAGCACTAGATGTGCTTGTTGTTACTGCAGTGTTGTTGCTTTTAGGCCCTCGAGGCTGACAGAGCAAGAAAATATATGTGTGCATACTAACCTGTTTATATACACATACACATTAATATTTTCACATGTGATAATCTGTGTCTATGTTAAGCTAAATATGAATTTACTGATGTCTCCAGCATGAATCCATTGCCAAATGGATCATTCTGGCCTTCTCCCCTTTTCTTTTTTATCTTTTTTTTTTTTTGAGACTTGATCTTACTCTGTCACCCAGGCTGGAATGCAGTGGTACAATCACAATTTATTGCAGCCTTGGCTTCCCGGGTTTAAGTGATCCTCCTACCTCAACCTCTCAAGTAGCTGGGACTACAGATGCATACCACTGCATCCAGCAATTATTATTATTCATTATTATTATTATTGTAGGGACAGGTTCCCACTATGTTGCCCAGGCTGCTCTCAAACTCCGAGACTCAAATGATCCTCCCACTTTGGCCTCCCAAAGTGCTTGGATTACAGGTGTGAGCCACCACACCTGGCCCTTCTCCTCTCCATTCCAACCATGAAAAACCTGACTGCCATCTTTTCCCAGCCATTTACTTAAGTGTTCAGTTCCAGTACACACGTGCAGCATTATTAGGGTTGATAACCTGGACCCATGTGGGAAACAGCTTTCTCAGTAGAGTCCTTATGTGCAGTTTCTTTGACATTTAGTTTTAAAGACTTTATTCATTTAAATTATTTAGGTCAGCATCTTTTTCTTCCAACCTTTTCGGTGAAGTTGTTTCTTACATTTGAAATGCAGTTACATTATTTTGTCACATTCTGCATTGCTTCCCAGAATTCTCTGGATTTCTTAAACAATTTTTTAAATTTGCATATGATAAAGTCAACTTTGTATTTACATGGCACTATGTATTTGTTAAAATGATTGTATAAAATGATATAAATTTGTATAAAATGATATACAATCATTTTAATAAGCACATAGTGCCATGTATCCACAATTGTAGTATCATACAAAGTAGTTTTACTACCCTAAACAACTTCCTGTGTTCCACATATTCAGTCTTTACCTCCTCCACGTGGACCCCTGGCAATCACTGATCATTTTACTATCTCTACAGTTTTGCCTTTTCTAAAACGTCCTTATGATTGGAATTTGTCAAAGGTCAGCTAACTATATTTGTGTGGATCTGTTTCTGGGCTCTCTGTTCTGTTCCAATGATCTATGTGTCTGTCCTTCAATATCACACTATCTTGATTACTGTAGCTATATAGTAACTCTTGAAATTAGGTAGTATGAATTCTCCAACTTTGTTTTCCATTCCACATATACTTTAGGATCAGTTTGTCAATATCTGCAAAATAACTTGCTAAAATTTTAATTGATATTCTATAGATCTATAGATTCTATAAGTCTGGCTGGGAAGAATTGATATCTCCACAATATTGAATCTTCCAAACCATGAACATGAAATACTATTCCTCTGTTTGTTTAGATCTTTTGATTTCCTTCATCCGAGTTTTATAGCTTTCTGCATACAGATCCTGTACATATTTTTAGATTTGAACCTAATTATTTTATTATTTTGGTGTTATTTTAAATGGTATTTTAACATTTCAAATTCTAATCGTTTATTTCTGATATCTAGGAAAGCAATCAATTTTTGAATATTAACGCTGTATCCTGCAACCTTACTACACTCACCAATTAGTTTTAGGGTTTTTTTTTTTTTTTTTTTGGTCAGTTCTATATAGATAATTATGTCATCGGAGAACAAAGACAATTTTATTTATTCCTTTTCAATTTGTATGTTTTATATCCTATTTTAGTCTCATTACACTAGCTAGGATACCCATGTAATATTGAATAGAAGTAATAAGAGAACATCTTTGCCCTACTCTAGATCTGAAGGGGAAGCATCCAATTTCTCATTATTGAAGTATGAGGTTAGCTATAGGGTTTTTTTGTATTTTTTTTATCAAGTTGAGGAAGTGCCTCTCTAATTATAGTGTGCTGAGAGATTTTATCATAT